ACAGCTGTCAGGAGAGGAAAGTTTGTTTTACTGACATATAGCCTAACAACATCTCAGCAGACCGCAGTTCACTGTTGTTCTACTGAAGCTCATCTGCCACATGTTCCTTTCTGCGCTCGTGTGACTTGCGCCTGGCGCTGAGGCGAAGTTTAAGTACGCGTCTGAAAAGTCTCCCGTTTGATGTGGTCATAAAGAGATACGGTGGTTCCACGCCTTAATAAATGCATTTCTTGTCTAGTGGTGCCACGGCCACCCCCTGGCTCCGCCCCTGCTGTGTGAGATATGTGATTGTTGTAATATTTCTATAAAAATCTAAAATACACGTTTGTATTAAAGTAAAAATGGATGATAAATACACCTTTCGTATGAAATTAAATAGCAAGCACTTTGAGTGTCTTGTTCATCATACTTATTTTCATATAAAAGCAACAGAACTGAAATTATATCATGTTTATTAGCAACAGCACGTGAGTGTGAATAACGCGATATCTGCCTTTGATCTCGTTGGTATCTGCTCCACTTCGAGAGGTCAGAACTGTCCGTCTTGACTGCACTTATTTCACCCCTCCGCTCACTGCAGTAGTGATGGGAGAAACGAAGCTTTTCAAAGCTTCGAATCAATTGAACCAATTGCTTCGCAAAATTATTCATCGTTTCGAAGCGCTCGAAACAGCACACGCTGGGGACGCCTGCTGGTCAAAAGTGTGTAAATGCAACTAAAACTCAAGCTAAAACATGCATAAAAACAGCTTTTAAAGCCCATTGCAAATGTTTTATTGAAAGTATACTACATTAAATGCAATAAAAATAATACAATACCATTAAATATGAAGTGTCTGTATGATGTGGTTTTTTAATTTTTTTGCTTGGTTTGTTATATGGACAGCTTCTATATAGAGGCCAGTAAAAGACTATTACCTACTTCTCTGAATTACTGAAATAAATGAACTTTTCCACAACATTCTAATTTATTGAGATGCACCTGTATATATATATATGACCCAAACTACATGCAGGTTTTTTTTTTTTTTCCCAACATATACTATAAAGGTACTGAACAAATATAAACTACAACAAAGAAATAGAAAATATACAGTATAATATAAATAATAATACAGGTAAAAAAAATAATATAATAATAATAATAATAAAAAATAAAATAAAATAAACAGAAAAAAGAACAGGTATGAGATCATCATATAAATAATATAAAAGCTTCACAAAGAGACCTTCAAACCATTGAAATTTCAAAACGTTTCAAAACAGTCATGACGTAACGAAGCCTCGTTTGCTGAAATCACGTGACTTGCCAAATTTGATACGCACTCCGAAAAGATTCGTAAATGTTTCGAAGCTTCATGAGGCAGTGTTTCAAAAGCGGCCATCACTACACTGCAGCCGCCTGCTCTCGACTACATTTCAGGCGAGGCGTGGCGCATCTCAAACAAGCCTTATATGTAAAGGAAAGAAATGCAAATAAATCAGTCCTCAACTAGACACACGGTTTTAGGAATTATGCATGTATGTAGTATGGGACTACTGTGCAGGACTGTTTACACACTAATGGGAACTTGCTTTCAATTCAAATCAGAAAATAATTTCCAAATTCCAAACATGCAATATACAATAGCGTCAGTTTATAACTTCTTTTTTTTTTTTTGTTCATACCCTTCGATGATCATTTGCAATATTTAAACAGCTTGCTAAAATAATAATAATAACAATAACAATAAAACAAATAATTAAAAAAAACGAAACTTTTTTGTTTGTGAAACTAAAACATGCACGTCTTTTGTTACCTGTTCAGCATTTGACAGTATAAAAACATAGGCAGCATGATACACTTATAAGTCCTACTGAGGCTATTTACATATCTACATCGAGCACCAAACAAAAGACAAATCAAAAATGGGAATAAGGGAACAAGAGGGTCAGCTGTAGGTAGATGATCTTATGTAATAAAGCAAACAAACAAAAATAATGTCTGCTTCTTTGTAAAATTTAAATAAAGTGGTAAAGACCAGACTGAACATGCAGAGTACTCAAGTGAAGGTGATCATTTTCATTATATTCTCAAAATACAAACATACCAAGACAGATGTGAAAAATGTATGTTTACCTTGGACACCCCACAGGTCTTCATCTGCCACCTCACATGTGATGGCAACAAATTAAAAGAAAGAAACTGTTAGTGAAATAAATTAATCATCACTTCACAAATATCACAAAATGTTTTATTAAGGGAGCTGACTGTTACAATGCATGAAATCAACTATAAAAAAGTATATAAAAATATTTATAAAAATAAAAATCAACAAACAAAATACACTCAGAAATATGTTTCATCAAAATGAATGAATTTACAAGCTAGTTAACACTGGTTTAATGATGTTGTAGCTGGTGCCATGGTGTTCATATTCAGTCTAGTGCTTTTTGATTAAAGTTTTTTATAAAAAGCCATACATATTAGAAACATACAAAATACAGTATTTTACAGTAACAATATTAAAAAAAAACTACAAACATGGCCAAGGGCTTAGGTTTGCTTTTGACATTGGTGGGGACCGTACTTCAAACTCATCAATGCAACTTTGTTAATTCCTGAAGTGAACTTCTATATTAACTGTTTTGGACTGCTGTCTTGAATTGGGTAAAATACCCGTGAGTTGTTCTAAACGCGGAGCGGCGCTGCTCCTCCGGTGTACAACTACATTCGCCATGTATTAAATGCGCGTCCTTGAAAGCGCGCAGTTTTCTACATAGCCTATTTTTTTATTAACTTTAACTTCTTAGGTAATATCAATGGTATGACGTTTCAGATTAGGGCTGCACGATAAATCGCATGCGATATTTAACGCGCATCTTGTCAGGGAGCCGGTTCTGTAATCAGCGGTAAATCTCCATCACCTGCGGGCTTTCACATTGAGCAGCATTAACTACACAGAGCCGTTGTTCACTGACTTAAATATCGCATGCGATTTATCGTGCAGCCCTATTTCAGATGTGTCCGAAATTTGTTACCTGTTCAGCATTTGACAGTATCAAAACATAGGCAGCATGATACACTTATAAGTCCTACTGAGGCTATTTACATATCTACATCGAGCACCAAACAAAAGACAAATCAAAAATGGGAATAAGGGAACAAGAGGGTCAGCTGTAGGTAGATGATCTTACGTAATAAAGCAAACAAACAAAAATAATGTCTGCTTCTTTGTAAAATTTAAATAAAGTGGTAAAGACCAGACTGAACATGCAGAGTACTCAAGTGAAGGTGATCATTTTCATTATATTCTCAAAATACAAACATACCAAGACAGATGTGAAAAATGTATGTTTACCTTGGACACCCCACAGGTCTTCATCTGCCACCTCACATGTGATGGCAACAAATTAAAAGAAAGAAACTGTTAGTGAAATAAATTAATCATCACTTCACAAATATCACAAAATGTTTTATTAAGGGAGCTGACTGTTACAATGCATGAAATCAACTATAAAAAAGTATATAAAAATATTTATAAAAATAAAAATCAACAAACAAAATACACTCAGAAATATGTTTCATCAAAATGAATGAATTTACAAGCTAGTTAACACTGGTTTAATGATGTTGTAGCTGGTGCCATGGTGTTCATATTCAGTCTAGTGCTTTTTGATTAAAGTTTTTTATAAAAAGCCATACATATTAGAAACATACAAAATACAGTATTTTACAGTAACAATATTAAAAAAAAACTACAAACATGGCCAAGGGCTTAGGTTTGCTTTTGACATTGGTGGGGACCGTACTTCAAACTCATCAATGCAACTTTGTTAATTCCTGAAGTGAACTTCTATATTAACTGTTTTGGACTGCTGTCTTGAATTGGGTAAAATACCCGTGAGTTGTTCTAAACGCGGAGCGGCGCTGCTCCTCCGGTGTACAACTACATTCGCCATGTATTAAATGCGCGTCCTTGAAAGCGCGCAGTTTTCTACATAGCCTATTTTTTTATTAACTTTAACTTCTTAGGTAATATCAATGGTATGACGTTTCAGATTAGGGCTGCACGATAAATCGCATGCGATATTTAACGCGCATCTTGTCAGGGAGCCGGTTCTGTAATCAGCGGTAAATCTCCATCACCTGCGGGCTTTCACATTGAGCAGCATTAACTACACAGAGCCGTTGTTCACTGACTTAAATATCGCATGCGATTTATCGTGCAGCCCTATTTCAGATGTGTCCGAAATTACAAAAACATATACATATATTTAATTGTTTGATCGAAATTATTGCTAGGGACAGTTTGGCAGTCGCTGGATATTGGTAGGGACACGTCCCTGGCGTCCCCCCCTAATTCTACGCCCCTGAACATGGCAGATATGCAAGACTGATGGACAGGTAAAGAAAGGGGGTTGAGTGACTAACGATCAATCTGATCTAATCTGATGAAAAAAATACTGAATGTTATTCACATTATATTTTATTTGCGACAACATTGTGAACTTTTATAGAGATGTGTTTGTTCATTAACTTTTAAGTGCATCATTATGCAGGTTAGCACATAAGGATGCACAAAGCTTGCCTACTATACTACACACTCAAAAGTATGTTCTTTTTATTCACAAAAATATACTTTCAGGGCGTAGTACAAGTAGGCAAATTGGGAAGCAAAGGTGTTGCAGCATGTGTTGATCTTAGCATGGTTTTCTATCAGTTCTTTCATTATGCATTATATTATCAAGTGCATTAATTTGTTAGCAGCAATATAGGTCAGTGCATTAATTGATCTAACAGGCAACAGCGATAATCAAAGTTATGCCTTCTTTCTTTGCGTGAACGACGGCGTTATGCAAATCTTCCCACATAGTGAGGTAGATATGTGGGGGCGTGTTAGAACGAGGCGTTTTAGGTAGGTGTGGCTGACTCTTAACTTTTATAAAAAATATCTCTTTGGATTTGAGACTTTAGTCTTTGCAACTTTACAGATCTTCTTTATGCACCAAGAGCTTGTAACACTCCAAAGAGAAAGGAAAAATTGAAATCGCATCATATGACCCCTTTAATGATAGGAAACAGAAATAAATGCCCATTGTTCTGATCTGGGTCAATTCAGCAGCTTAATCCCTCCATATACCAAAAATCTCAAGAGACCTTTGTTGTTTTGCTGGTTTACATGTTTCCTCAGTTATTGCTGTATGTATATATAAATTTCAGTCAGTTCTGCTGTGCTGTTTGAGCTGAAAATTGACTGGTACCAGTGATGTTACAGTGATGTCTCATCGGCAGCCTCAGTCTCATTCCCATCAGGGGGCGTCTCATTAGCATCGTCCATCAACATAGGGTCAGACAGATTAGGGGACGAGTCTTTTAAATGACCCGACTGTAATAAAACACAGATTCACAGAGGGTAAATGAAGATTATTTAGTTGCACATTATGCTTTTTCTTGATGCACCGACATTTTCTTTTCCTCAGTGTACATGGTATCTCACCTGATCACTGGATTGTGCTGTGGTGTCTGTTTGAACAATAATAAAAATTCAATTAAAAACACATTACTTTGATTTATGAGTAGAAAAATACTTACTTTGACATCTTTTAAAGATTCCTTTCACACTTTTTCCATCTTGTTAAATCATCTGTATGTAATACTCACTATTTTGTCCTGCTTGAGGACGCTTGCGATAGTAAATCACACCACCAGCAGCTGCAGCCACGAACAACAGAACAACACCAACACATATTCCTGCTACAGCAGCTGTAGACAGACCTGAATCTGAAACAGATAAGGACAGACAGTCATCATTACTACATCGAGAATGATAATCGGTAGTTACATCAATGTTGGTCATATTTAAAATATTGTATTTAAGATATTTACCATTAAGATATTTAAGTCACTACACCACTAAGCACATGCTTCCATGGGCTAAAAAAAATATATATTTTTTAAATAGTTATTTTTATATATGGGAGTGCACAGGAGTGACAACCACATTCTATAACCGAACTCATACCAGTAAATATTCAGGACTCGCAACTGCATTTTCGGTGAAGCCATGCTGTGTGAACAAAACTAGTGATGGGACAATTGACACAGCAGCTCCGACGCAGTTTTCAAACCATTATTGTATCACATACTGTGCCGATGCTTGTATCGAAATGACAACACCACGTGATTGATGACGTTTGAAGCTTCGAACGTCATGCAGTATCGGAAGGTCAGGCTTCACAATCCCACCTGATGCATAAAAGGATTATTCAGTCACTTTGAGGGCTGTCAGTAGGACATTTAATCATGTTTATAACTCAACATAAGAGTATAACAGCTCACTCAAAATATTTTTTTTTTCAGCTACCCACGTCAATTATTAATTATGATCACATTTTTGTGTATTTTATATTATTGATCGGTTTGTGAATCCGTTGACCAAGCTATACATGACACGAGTTGTGGTCTCACTGGCACAAATTAATTTAGATGAGATTATATCAAATTAGATATTGTATTGATCCCAGATTAATTACACTCTTGAATGTCACAGACTTCCGAAACTTTGTTTGGTCACATGCTTTTTCAAACTATCCTCTGCTCCAAGATGATTTGTCAGAAATGGTGGAGAACACAAGTCCGACCACCAGATGTCTGCACACTGTGTTAAAAGCTTCGAGTAATGAACTGTTTTTCGGCACAATTTAATGAAAGCCTCAAACGCTTAAGAAAGCCTCGATTTCCCATCACTAAAAAAAACTGAACTGGACAACTAGTTTTCTGTAATGTCTTTAAGTGCGAGAGATATAATTTGCTTGTAATCCGAGGGGTTTAGATCCAGTCACTGTCTTTCACTATGGCAAGCCAAAATATATTTAGATACACCTAGCGCAGAGGTGTCCAAACTCGGTTCTGGAGGGCCAGTGTCCCACAGAGTTTAGCTCCAACTTGCCACAACACACCTGCCCGGAAGTTGATTAGCTGTTCAGGTGTGTCTAATTGGGGTTGGAGCTAAACTCTGCAGGACACCGGATCTCCAGGAGCAGGATTGGACACCCCTGATCTAGTGTTACTCGTCGTAATTGCATTTTGACTAGTAACCACTGAATTAAAGAGCTCTACAGTTTTTCTAGTCATATGTCTCAATTGACTTCCATTAATTTTTAATTACAGAGCTCTACAATTGAATTTTTACCAGTCAGAACTGCAGTTAGAGAGTGCTTTACTTCAATTAAGGCAGTTGCTCACCAGACGAGAGGCAGAGCGTCACATCGCAGCTACAGCTTTATAGGTATCGCGCACTGGACACTTCGTGTTCAGTTCAAGACTGTTAATCTAAATCACCAAACATGGAGTTTGGCGTTTTAAAAAAAAAAGAGAGCAAACGGAAAGAGAAAGTGTGATCCATTATAGATCTTAATACAATGGATGAACTTGCACCACAACTTTTGCCATTTCAAATGTGGCAAGACTCCACAGTTTTATTTACATCACCATCTTTGATATCACTTTAGTCACTGCTCTTACAGTTCATCCAGACAGTAGCCTATTCAAGACATGTAACCTGCTGTGTGAACAGAATACTTTGAGACTCACTAACGTGGTTGTCAGTCTCAAACGATGACAGTGTGAATGTAGCCAGTAAGTGGTCAAGGACACCTCAATCATGTGTATTGAAGGTGGAAAAGAGCTCTGTACATTCACTCTCACCACCTACAATTCCTGGCTGTACTGAAACTCTGAACCCACAACCTTTTGGTTACAAGTTCGACCCTCTAACCATTAGGCCACAACTGCCCTCATTTAACTTAATTCGTTTAATTTTACTTTAATGTTATTAATTTTACATGTTAATAGCATTAGACTTGTGAACTGGACAAGCTTGTTGTGACATTTTGAAGCGTATGCAAAGGTGATAGATCGCAATTATATTTTAATAATGACTCAAAGCTCACTTTTGACCACAATAAAAATATTTACTGGGATTATTTAAACATTTCAAAATTTATTTTAAGAAAGCTTAATGGAAAAGGCCTTGAAAGACTAAATTTTACTCACCAATGAGAGTAAAAATGAATATTTTCAAACTGGTGATGCTGACGCTGTGCTGAGGGATGCGGCTGATGATCTGTAGTTTATAAAGTCCAGAGTCTGTGGTTCTGGTGTTTGTGATGGTCAGAGATCCAGTCTGATGATCCAGCTTCAGTCTGTCTCTGAATCTCTCTCTACACTGATCATCTGTACAAATCTTACTCTGATCTCCAGTGATTTCAGCGATGAGAGTCTCATTAAAATACCATGTCATCTCATCATTCGGGTTTTTTATTACACCAGGATCTAAAGTAACAGCTTCTCCCTCCATTACTGATATTGTCTTCATTTTACCCAATTCTGCATCAGGAGCATCTGAAACACAAACCAACAGCTGCTTGAAATATCTTTTTTGACTTTCAGCATGGAACACAACATGCATGCATTTTGTTTCAAAGACGAATGTTTCATTAAATGTCTCACCAAGAACAGTAACACTGAAGGTCTTTTCACTGATGCTGCTGCTACTGAAGATCTTCAATTGATACACCCCAGTGTCTGCAGTGTTGATGTTTTTGATGGTCAGAGATCCGGTTTGGTTCTCTAGATTCAGTCTGTCTCTGAATCTCTCAGTGCCATTATTACACTGAACATCTGTACAGATCCTGCTGAGATCTCCAGTGATAGCAGCGATGCGGGTGTCATTCAAATACCATAAAATCTCTTCTTGTTGTGTTGTTGTAATATAAGTGTATAGAGTAATTGAATCTCCCTCCATCACTGATACTGTCACTCTGTCCGTAATAACACTGAAAACACCTGGAGAAAAAAAATTATAATTACTAATCATGCCTGGGGGTAGTGGGACATGATTATTCAACAAAAAAGTAATCATTAAAAAAAGCATAAGAAAAGCATAATTGATTCACACATTCACTCATCAGACAAACGCGCATGAGTCTCATGGATGATCTTGAACAACTTAGTGAACACCCTAAAACCCACTTTCATATATTGCATTGCACTGGCAGTCACACAACCGGGGGTGTTTCCCAAAAGCAACTATGGTTGGGGAGTTCGGCAAAACCTGTGATCACAGTTTGTTAACGACGCTTTGGGGAAATGCACCCCTGGTTGTGATTATTGCACCGGACTGTCCAAGGATTGCCTCCCTGTGCTCACGTACTGCGTTTTAATGCAGCCGAATTCTCAATAAAACTGTTTTTATTAATATGTTTAACTGTTTCTGTTGTCAGACAACGGAATTAATATTATAGTGACTGAAATGCGGTCCATTAAGACTACATAACCAGCTCTCAAATATTAATCTGCACTAAAATCCTAATCACGACATTGTCTAATGAAATCAACTACACATACGATTAAGACAATGGCTGTGCTGTGATTTCGGCTATTCTTGCCTGTAAGAGTTAGAGTTAGAAGCAAACAGAATATCTTTTTTTAAATGAAAGTGCTGCTCCTCTCTGCGCTCGCTGAACAGAGCAGACGGGAGTCGCTAAATTGGCAACACTGCCTGAATGGCGTTATGAGTTCTCGCGATTCATTTTAAGCATGGCGGGAGAGTTTGAGTTAACTTATAAACAGACTAGAATAATGGTTTTGTCGTTTATAGAAAAGTGAAAGAAACAAATGTTTTACCAGGCACGACGAATACACACAACGTGTGCAAAAGAAAATAATCCATTTCACCACTTTTCTATTTAAAAATGAACGCAGATTCTTTGGAAATAAAGGTCACAAACTACGTTACAAAGAAGTTGTCCAAATCACACAGAACCACGCGAGATGTCAAAACGAGATGTTGTCGGGCTGCGTCCGAAACCGCATACTCTCTAGGCACATTTCAAAAAGTACTTACTTTGAGCGCTAAAAGATAAATACTCTACAGCTTGAATGCGTGAAGTATGAATGCGATTCGGTTATCATCCGCTATGTTGACGTTATCATGTGACCTACGACGTTATAACAAGCGCAAAAAATATGATCGAGTGACAGGTTTAATTCATCTATCTGTAAGTATCTTGATAATGATGAAACTTGCCCATTTTGTGGTCTTGTTGAAGAAACAGCTGCCCTTTTATTTATTTATATGAAATTGTAGTATAGCCAATACATTTGGGGTTGATTTAAGTTCTTATATTTTTAACTCCACTAATGTGATCCACAGTTTTATCCTTAAAGCATTAAAAAAAAATTATTACAAAAACCCAAAATCGTTATCTCTTGAATATTTTAATTATTTTATGTGCAAAATGTTTTATCCACAAGCAAAAGTGGCTTAAATCTCCTTTGTTTTCTTGTTGAATTTAACTTTTGTTTCATCGCTCAGACTTCTAAAAAAAGCATCATGATGAATTATTCAAAGATATTTAACCTGGTCACTTTTTTTCTGTGTATATTATCTCATACTATGATGAACACATGAAATGTTTGTTTACTGTTTTATGCCATATTATGATTGTTCATTGTTAGATACAACCATCTTTCCCTGATCTTTTATGTAAATATAAGTTCGGCAATAATAATAATAAAAAAAAGCGACAGGTGCACTAACACCTCATAACTCAATCTAGTACGGTTTCCCTCAGCGACTTTGCAATATCTGCACAAGGATATGTCGGGCAGCTGCTCGAAGATCTCACCTTTGGAGAAGACTGTTGATTTTATACTCTAAAAATTTAAGTATTACTACTTAAAAATTAAGATTACCCCATAATGAATTGCATAATTTGCCCACCCTAACACTTACATGCAATAATAACGATAAATGCCAACTAATAATTATATGACTTTTTTTTTCTTAAAATAACATTTTAGTAAAACAAGCAAAATTTTATTTTTGTCGTGACATAGCTATACATGAATATACACTAGTTCAACAAATGCAGTCGATGTGAATACATCAATTTTCAGGCAAGCAATTAATACAAGAATTAATAAAATATTTATATAAATTTGGACATTTTCACTTAGGGGTGTACTCACTTTTGTGGCCAGCTTCATTCAAACTTATTGTTATCTCAATCATGTATTTACAGATGGTGAACCCCACATCCTACTGCCATCTCAACACAGCTGTGCCAGTTCTGCTGCTGCGCTGTGCTTCACAATCTCGCTCTTCTCAATGGGGACATTGTTGAGCTAGAGGATGAGGAAGACCATCATGATGGCTCTCTGAACCACACAACCTTAAGGCAAGAGCAGGGGAACACGTGCGGGACAATCTGGCTGCCACTGTGTCTGCTCCAAACATCTGTGTGCTGCTTTCCATGAGCACGACTACCTGTAAAACATTTACACAGAGTGAAAAATTTTACATCTCATGTTGTCAGCTTTCCATTTCTTGACAAATTTCATTTAATGTTTACAATTACATGCATGAGTGATGGAGCGTCTCATCCATGGCACTGGACCATTTCCAGGATGCTGCTGTGGACTTCTCCATCCTCACTGCTCACACCAGTCTGTGGACATTTCAGATCATACAAAAACCCCCTAACATAATACAAAAGCAGTCATTTTAACACCATAATGTAATCTGATCTCTGTATTAGAAGTAACAAAATGATCTTACTTTATCCTTTTGTTTCAGGTTTTCCCTTTTTTCACAAATGTCGCTGTCACCTTTCCTTGCAGGTCCTGCTCCACCACAAAAGATCTGCAGCAAATGCACAGAAATCAAGAATCAGAAAAGTGCTGTAATAGTTGTTTAAAATTACAATAATTAAAATGAACTACAACTTAAGATTTAAAATAGTTTTATTCATTTCTGTAGTGTACTCACTCAAAGCCTTTGATGGCAGCATTCCTTCATCAGTCACTGTGCACTAGATAAACACGCGTGTGTCTCATCTGTCCCTGTAACATCCAGACAAGAGTCAAGTTACCTCTGTGATTTATCTGCTCTATACTATATTTACATGTTGAGGTAGTTGCTGATGTAACTCGCTTTTTATCCAACACAAATGTTCCTTAAATTATCAATATTACAAATAAAATAGACAACTTATGTTTAGTTACTTTATGTAGATGTGTTTGTTTACATGACTTACATTCATCTAAAGCAGTGTTGACAACAGTGAATTCTACATAATAGCACACATACATCACTCAGATGCCTGTTTCAAGTCTATTAGATGTGCTCATCTGCAATACTAATCAAAGACTATCCTGTCAGATGTTAAATAGACATTTAGTAATCGTCTTTAAGTTGCATATATGGTTTATGTAAATCCACTTCTGAGACGTATGTGTACTTAATGGAGCTCCACTGTTAGTTGTGCATTATAAAACGTGTTTTTACAGCAAAATCACAAATATGCTACATTATGTAAGTCACAAACAGGGTTTAGATAAAGCAAGGATTAGGCCATAGTTCAATTAGGGCATTTAAGTAGCTTTTATAAACGTGCCTTGGATAAAAACACTACTGATTTGCATCTTGAGACAAAAAATAAAAAATTAAGATCAGTCAGTTCAAGTTGCTTTCAGTTACAACAGCCCAGACATGCATTTTAGTCTGGGACTAGCCTTGGCTGTGAAACCGGGGCATATCGTCTTTACACCATTTGCTTATATATTGTTCACTTTACACCTTAGTTTTAATAGATTATTAGCTCCATAAACAATACCACTGTATGAAAATGACTTACACACTTCAATTTGAACGGTTATTTCGGGACAACAAATATTCTCACCAAGCGGCCATCTTGCCAACAACAGCTCTTCTTCTTCTTCTTTTGTGTTTAATGGCGGTTGGCAAACCAGCTTAAGGTGCATTTCCGCCACCTACTGGGATGGAGTGTGAGGCCTCGATGAACGAACATATTATATACTACTAATATATAAAAATAAAAAAACTAAATTCTTCTAATCAAATCTGTATCTCTCAGATATTTTAGAAGAAAATCATAAACCCTTAGATGTTTCTGTGCATTCTGAAATATATTCATAACTGAAATGTCATTGATTTCCATATCTCTTAGTTTTTCAACAAGTTGCTTTCTTTGTCTATTATATGCCTCACAATGTAAAAGCACATGTTCAACTGTTTCTGTTATTCCACAGTAACTGCAGCTATCTGACTCACTTTTTCCTATTATATACAATGAATAATTAAGGTTAGAGTGTCCTATACGGATCCTGGTTATAACAGTATCTTCTCTTCTGTTTCCATATACCTTTCTTTCAATCCCCACTTTCTGTTGAATGCTAAATAAGTGTCTCCCTTTTGACTCTTTATTCCATACGTCTTGCCACATACTTCCAACTGCTGTTTTAATAATACCTTTTACTTCTGTTTTACTTAAAGGAATTTCTATGTCAATCTCTTCTTTTCTCAATGCTGACTTGGCCAGCTTATCCACCTCCTCATTTCCTTCTACACCTACATGGGCAGGTATCCATAAAAACTCGACTCTTTCTCCTGTTTGGTTTATTCTATATAAATTCTGTAAAATTTCATAAAGTATATCCTGTCTAGATGCTGATTTCCCACTATTTAAGCTGTTTAATACTGAATATGAATCTGAACAAACTACTACACTTATAGGATTGATTTCTTCCACCCACTGCAAAGCCATTAGAATTGCCATCATTTCTGTTGTGAATACAGATACATCGTTAGATAACCTTTTAGCTGTGCTATATTTAAAATAGGGAATATATATGGCTGCTGCTGTATACCCAGAATCCGGATTTTTTGACCCATCCGTATATATTTGAATACTATTAAAATAGTTTTGTTTCAAATATTGATCTACTACTATTTCTTTAGGCATACACCTTTCCTTTTCATTTATTTTAAAATGCAACTGGAGATCTACCATTGGCATGCGGAACAGCCAAGGGGGTATAATTTGTATTGCTACCGTTTAACTTATTTTTATGTCATTAATTCCTACCTTCTTAGCATCTGCGTTGGCATTCCATCCAAAACTACAATAATTTATATACTCATGTTCCCAACATTTTTGTAAAACATCTTTGACTGGATGGGTTTCTACATGCCCCCTTACAGAACACCAGTATGCCATCTTTAGCTTAAGTCTCCGGAGGTCTAAAGGCAACTCCGCCATTTCCACCTGCATCGCTGAGACTGGCGATGTTCTAAATGCCCCACTTCCTATTCTTAGTGCTTGAGATTGAATACCACTTACTTTCTTCAACATAGATACTGATGCCGAACTATATACTATGCTGCCATAATCAATCATAGGTCTAATCATTGCACAATATACCCTTTTCAATGCCTGTCGGGTTGCACCCCAATCTACCCCTTCCAAACATCTTAAAATATTTATTCCCTTTTTACATTTATCTATTACTTTATTAATATGTGATGCAAAAGTTAGTTTTGAGTCCATCCATAATCCAAGGAACCTAATTTCTGTTACCTGCTCTAACATTTTTCCATAAATCTTTAGTTTAATATTTGGTGATTTCTTCTTTTTTGAGAAACATATCACTTTAGTTTTTTTCTACTGAAAGTCTTAAAACTCCACTTATTTACCCATTTTTCCACTTCATTAACTGCTTTCTGCATACTACTTTCCACAAATACTACATTTCTTCCCCTTTTCCACAAGGCACCATCATCAGCATATAAAGATTTACCAAATCCTTGTCCAATCATTGAAAATATGTCATTTATCATTATGTTAAATAAAACTGGGCTACACACACTTCCTTGTGGGGTCCCATTATCTGTTGAGTAAGTCCTAGAATAAAGTTATCTTTCTTCTTCTCCTTCTTGGACTGCAAGAGAGGGGCGTAACTTGAAGAAGGGGGCGTAACTTGAAGTTGTCCAAATCACACAGAACCACGCGAGATGTCAAAACGAGATGTTGTCGGGCTTACTTTCTAAGTTCTAAGTAAGAACCGTATACTTTCTAAGTTATAGGCACTTAATTTCTTTAAGTACTTACTTACCGAGCGCTATGAGAGTGTACAGCCTGAAGCACAGCCTGAATGCGTTAAGTATGAATGCGATTCGGATATCATCCGCTATGTTGACGTTATCATGTGACCTACGACGTTATAACAAGCGCAACAACTTAAAAGATATGAGTGACAGGTTTAATTCATCTATCTGTAAGTATCTTGATAATGATGAAACTTGCCCATTTTGTGGTCTTGTTGAAGAAACAGCTGCCCTTTTTTTGTGATTGTAGTATAGCCAATACATTTTGGGTTGATTTAAGTTCTTATATTTTTAACTCCACTAATGTGATC